AATCAAATAAAGCCACTTACAAGAACAGAGGAATCTCTAGCGGCTAGAGTTAAGGCGTCAGCGCAAGAAACAATTCCAGGGCATTCATTCTCCAATGCAGCTTTGATCTGATCAACAACTTCGAACCCGCGAGCTGATCCACTGTTAGGGTTAGAGCTCTTCTCAGTAACTATCCTACCACTGCTGTCTAGAAGCAATGAGCCATCACAACCCTACAAATTTTTCATTCAAATGATTATTCTCAACATTAGTTAGCTTGTTGACCAAGTAACTTATGTGAAAGAAAAAGATAAAAGCTCTCGAGTACCTGAACAAAACAGTCGTGGAAATGGAGCCTCATGAGAGAAGCAGCCATACGAGTCTCTCTTGCAACAGCTTGAGCTACGACTGACCTCACGATCTCCTCGGCATTAGGGCACGATCTGCTGTAAAAACCTGGGAAAAGGTTGCCTCTGTCGCCACCATAATTGTTCTCTTCATCGTCGCAGATGCATAGAGTAAGAGAGCAAGCAAGAGAAATAAGAACAAGAAAGCTTCCGATTTTAGCCATCACAATTGGAGTAAGGGCAAGAAGAAAGAAGAAAGATGATTTTGTGATGATAAGAGATATGGAGGAGGAGGAGAAGAAACGAAGGTATATATAGGCAAGAGAGTTTGTGGAAATTTTGGTGCCATTGAGAGGAAAGAAGGAAATGAATAGAGTTGTTAGCTTGATTGGAATTAAATAAATCAAAAGAAATCATTTAAAATGCAAAATGGTTTGGATTTAAGGAGACTAAATCTTGGGTTTGGTATCCGAAAATGTCCCAATCTTGGGTCTGACTATTTCACCTCCTCTTTTTGGTTATTATTATAGGTTTTAATTATTACCTTTCTACTTTTTACAAAGTTAAAATTAATGATAGATGCAAAAGTTATATCAAAAAGTTAAAATTAACTTTACTTAAAAAGAGTGAAAATATGGCGTCGAACAAAAAGAGAGCAAAGATATGCATGGCGCTCTCACCGACGAAACAGAACGTATAATTTTATCACGTTGGTCACATGTTTTTTTCGAAAGTTTTGTTTTTTTTAATTAGTTGAAGCTAAATAACAAGAGAGATCACTGATATGAATATATGTGATATTTGATATAACCGTCCAGTTTAAAACGTTCAGTTCTTGAAAAATGAAAAACAAACAAAGAGGAAAATCAGTTAGAGTGAAAATGAAGAGAGAAAACAAATAATAGACCAAAAATCCAAAAACCATTTGAAAATTATAATTACATAAATGGTAATCTGGTGACAAAGCACGCGGCAAATCTTTAACGCGTTTAAAAAATAAAAAAAAATTGACACAACATTTTAATCCTTTGGACCAACCTAACTATTATAATCAAATAGCTCATAAGTATTCTTTTGTGTGTTAAAAAATTAAGTAAATGAAACAAAGAGTATGAACAGTTTCTAACTACTCCCTT